TATTTAAGACATATTAAGGAAATATTTAGGAAATATTTAGGAAATACTTAGGAAATATTTAGGAAATACTTAGGAAATATTTAGGAAATACTTAGGAAATATTTAGGAAATATTTAGGAAATATTTAGGAAATTTTTAGGAAATTTTTAAGAAATATTTAAGAAATTTTTAAAAAACTTTTAAGAAATTTTTAGGAAATTTTTAGGAAACTTTTAGGAAATATTTACAATTAACATATTATTTACTTAGCATTTATAGCCTTAACTTCTATTCACACATTTACTACGAATATCTATTCATAATACCACGGTATTCTTAATTTATATAGTACTACCTTAAAGAGGTAGGTAAAAAACTTCTATTCTAATAAACTCTTTATTTATAAACTTCCCTAGACTAATTGTTCCCTATTATCCCTTAACCCTTAATTATACTTTTTACCTATTTATATCCTTAATAAAGATCTAGGTAGAAGTAGCGGGGTTTATTTAAGAATCCGTTTTATCATCGTTAGAATTATTAGTAGGGGTAGGCTAGACCGGTTTGCCCTTAACTACCTTACTATTCCGGCCCATTCGCTTAGGGGTCTTAAAAATTTTTAGAAATAATTAATATTAAGTATAACGATATATAGGTATTAATAAAATAACTTACCAGAAATATCCTCGTTTAGTACAAGGTTAGGGTAATAGTACTTACGAAATACTAAATAAGTTAGCTTATATACGTTAGGGAGAGGGTAAGTTATAAAATCCGGTTAAGAGGAGCGTTAATTAAGGAATAAGTTATACTTATTATAACTAATAGCGTCTTACGATATATAGACCTTATAGCTCTCTTCGGGGCCGAGCTTAACGTTTATTTTTATCTAGGCAACGTCCTATTAGAAATAGTTAGTTTTATAAACTAAAAATATTTCGGAAATATTTTTATTTATAATACCGTCCTCTTTAAGAGGGATAGTAAATAATGCCTTATTACTTATAATAGCCTTAGGCTTTTAGGGAGTATCTAGGGGCATATCCTAGCCCTTCGTAAGTAATATTATTCTAGCGTAGTATCCTATAAAAAACTATTAATAAGGCTAAAAATATTAATATAAAATAAGAAGTAACTTATAGGTAACCTCGAGGTTAATAGTAGTAAAAAGGGATCTTTTATAAGAAATCGCAGAGTCGATACGATAACCCTTTTTAAGGTACTTCTTAAGCGTACTAAAAGACGATTAGTAATAGCTATTAAGGTAAAGGCTATTAACCTCTAAGTAATAGTAATAAAGTTCTCTTAATAATAAGATTACTTAACCTTACTATTATAAAAGTAAGTAAATAAATTGCGTATTTAATTGTAATAATAGAGACGAAACTTATACTATCGGTCTCGAATATAGGGAGATTCTAAAGCCGGCCCTACTTACTATTAATATAGGACTTAAAACTATTACTATCGCAGTAGCGGGAAGGTATCGTAGAATTAATTCGGAAATGTTTCTAATTAATTATTAATAAATTTCGAGTACGATAGTAAGTTTCGTAATAAAAATTTCTAATAAAAGTCGTAACGAAGAATAGAAGTTTAAAAAAAAGGACGCGACTTAGCTAGAGTAAAAAAAAAGTATAGGTCAGAATTATTTCCTATAAAGCGGACCACAATTAAGTAGCAGTACCCTAATTAGCTATAATTTATTTCTAAAATATTTCCAAAATATTTCTAGCCCGAGTACCCTAAAAAAAAAATTAACGAAGTCCGATTAGTCAAATTTAGCTAGGATCTACTAATAACTGAGCACCTATTACTATGCACGGGACTCCTACCTTAACTAGGGGGGGTTATTATCAGTTTATATATAGACTTAGATACAGACGCTGTTCGAGGCTCTCTAGTCCCCGGCATCCGGACATGCGTGCAGACAACTCACGCACTTGGAACTTGACGGATACCTTTTCCACCTCGCAAATTTACCAGACATGCAGCTTTTGCAAGCTACCCGCCGCTATCATCCCGCCCTACTGCAACACTCTTGTAATTTGCATTAGGCTTCTGGAGCGGCTAATCCGCAACGACTTGGTCTTGTCTACATCCGTGCTAGGGCAATCGTCGGCAGCACCACTCGTCCCGCTAACATCTCCCGCCCTTCACACAGGTCAATCCGTCAAATCGGGTCCTCCTCATTAACACGTCCACTCTTGAGCCTGAATCACTCTTTTGCCGTTGATACTGGGCGACACAGACGTAGTATTCCACGAAAAATACGCGTGTCAGTGCCCGGAGGCTGTCGAAGGCTGTTTGACGGATACGAAAGCATCGAACTGCGACTTACATATCGCTCAGCCAGGCCCTGTCGCATTTCCCCAAAGTTCCAATAGAAATACCTGACGGACACCTTGGTGATCCAGTATGGGGAAGCTAGCTACGGGTGCGGTGTGGTGCGTATCCGTACAGTGCCCCCCATCGAGCCGCCTACCTTACCGTCTCTCACACTCTCTCTCTCTCCCCACACAACAAGTACCTACCGTGGCTCCATGGCAGCGCAACCCTGCTGTGATGCTGGGAGAAGAACATCAATGACCGCCTCCGTTCTCCAGTCTAAAGAGCTCGAGGGACCTCAAGGGCCTCCAGGGCCAGAGACTGCAACTCTGTCTGGCTGAATAGGTTCAGGCTCATGACGGAGACATACGGTATTTAGAAGCTCTGTACAATCTAGGTCCGGCAGCGAGACGGCAATATGTTTTACTGTGCGAAGTCAAGACACCAGAACAATTTGGTTCACGATCTTGTCACCTTCTAAGCCGGCGGAGAATAGTCTCAAAGAGCTAGTACGACTTATCCACGTTGTGTTCGCGACAGCCAGGTACACGCTCCGAGAGGGATATCCACTGTTCACCGCACGTCGCCTGCCTACAGGGACTCCGATGTTGGCGGCAGAATAAACCTTCGCTGAATGTTTCTTTGCAGCATGTTTGTCGGTCCTTAGGCACACGGACCCTACGGATACTCGACTGACAGAATTGCCCTGTGCTGAGCTGAAGCCTGAAGAATGGATCGCGAACCAGAAACGATACCGGTGGCCGGGTCGGGATTGCACTGATCTTACTGCTCCAACTCCTAATCCGAGGCTGACCGCCGGCGCGCTGGCGCACGACTGATCCATCACGAAGGGTTCGACGCCTCTACGTCATAGCGAATGGGGCGGCTCCCGTCAGATGGTCTTCTCTTACTCAGTGACCCTCGCCGTTCCGGCCGATCCGTTACCGCTCATCGCTTTCGCACCGACCTCCGATCGTGGCAGGTCGCAGAGTGGCTAATTGACGCCTCTTGCTCGACCTCGCCAGTGCTCGCCTTCGCCTCTCTCGCCATCGCGGGAATTGACGTGCTGACCTAAGCTTGCTGGGTGTTACCCCCAAGCTGATCGACGCTACAAGGGTTTCTCCGTACGAGGCGCGCTCTCGCCAAAAACCAGTTCTCGTTGGCGTTGGAGCTTGGGATCGGAGCCGTGTCGGTCAGTGTTCGGTCTCGCCGTCGAAGAGGCCGGGGGATCCATAATGTACAAAGCGGTCGGTGGCCTTGGCCATTTTGCCTTCCAAACTCAAGACATCCCGAACCGCCTGGCCGTTTCCTCGCCCGGCTGCCAGCCACGGTGCCACGCAAAGGGTGGTGGCCCAGCTCCTAGAGAAGTTCGCCGATACTGTAATCTCTCACCGAGATTCAAGCACGGTCTGCCCGGCTTCTTCCACCATCCCAGCCTGCCAGGTCTTACCACGGGCGACGCCCGGGCCTACCTGAAGCCCGGGTGTTTGGTCCTGTCCTTGGGCCGGATGACAGAACCTGTCGGGCAACCTGGACGGTTGGAGCCTGGAGAAAACTCGCGCTCGGCTGGCCAAAGCTCGCCATTCAATATTGTCCTCGTGAGCTCCCCGTGGAGACTGGAGACTCTCGGCGCTCACTCACCGTCTTTGTGTTCTTGGTCGTGACTCTTAGCAAAGAGGCATGCTGAGCCGCCCACGATGAGCCATTTCAAACCTTGCTATCGTATTGGACAGTTCGATACCTCGCCCATCGTTGATCTGGGCCATCTTGGGGCACGCCGCATCTCTGCACCACTACCCACCATCACAGTCCTCGGAAATGGCCCCGGTTACCCCCTCCCGAAATCGTCCATCGAATCGCCCATACAGATACACCTGCACTGTGCCTCCACTCCCGCTTTCTGTCGAGTGCGGGGATTTGACGGCCCTGATTCTCCCGCGCTTGCTACCATCCTAACGTGCCTAAAGCCTCATTCTGCTGCCGTTTAAGTCTACATTCCCCCCCTTCCGAGTCAGTCGGTTCTGGCAAAGTTGGAGAAGGATGGGGGGTCCTGCAACGAATCGACGCCTCCAGTGTCTTGGCCGTCGATGACATGCGCTTTCTGGCGCAATGAAATGCGCCTTTTTTACCCCAATGTCGCCTCGTTTGGCAGCTCTAAGACAAGGCCATTTTCATGTATAGTTGATCCTTCTTGGCTCACGAGTACAGCCCGCAATCTTCCGCTGAGCTGTGTGAGGTCAAGACTCAAAAGATTGAGCGAGAAAAGGACCAACGGAATCGGAGTGTCCATGCTCACGGCATCGTCGCATCAATTCCATCTTGGAGGGAAAAGGTTGAACCCAAAGTCTTGGCCAGCGGCCTGGGACCTTGGCGGTTCTCTACCAACGAAACTCCAAAAAACAGTGCTGGTATTCATACGAGCCTCACATTTGGCAGCTCCCACTTGAGCTCTATCTCTTTTCTTCTTCGCAGTCCGGATAGACAGTCTACTAGTCACGCCAGTGTACGAACTATGATTTCACGAATTCGTTTGCACGTAAGACGATGCAGGGATTGGCCACAACAAACGGTCGGTCAAGCTGGGGCACGAATCCCGACTCAACTGCCAAACTATCGGCTATGGGTACTCGCGACGCCGCCTCCCCCAGCGCTCGGCATACTGAAAGCCGCTCCACGTCGCGCATCCCCTAGGCTCTAGGAGTCTAGGGTCTCGACCAGAATTTCGTAGTGAGACTTCTGGACCCAGACTCGGCCGTGTAGCTTGCTGTTTGGGTGATGTGTTCCTATCGATCCATGGCCTGTGGGTGACAAGACCATCCATCCGTCTCCGGAGCCGATGGGCTTGTCAGCGGGGATTACTATGACAGACAATGGCGGAGTGGCCCCCGGATCGATAACGCACAATATTGGACGTGGATGGGATTCTCACTCGAGTCGCCGTGTTACAGCTTACCAGGCCTTTTCCGTCTCGTTGCGACATCACATACTGACTGCTAATGCCAACGAGTGACGAGAAAGGCAAGCACTGGACGCGAGAAAGGTCTAATTGATGGCGCGTAGAACCCTGTCAGAAGAGGGCACGGTTGGCATGCTCACTCATTTGCATCATGGCACCGTCTCCGTCGATAAACCCTGGTATTTTCGGACATTAAGCTGTGGGTGAGATGGGTACCCATCACGTTTGTTTACATCTCCATCACCACAGGGGCCAGCACAGGCCAGATAGGGTTTGGTCTGGAGCTCATGTCAAATTTCGATTTGCCTTAATGAGCTGAAGTAGATCATGAGTCTGCCGATTTCCCGCATCATTTCATCCGATTGAAATTGCTCAATGCGTTCTGCCTCCACGACAGACGTCATCCCAACTCACAGGGCTGTTCCAACTTGCAACGGGATGAATGTGGATTTGAAGCAAATTTCGAGATATGGAGAATTGCGACATGTACAACATAGCGAATAGCTGCATTTCGCCAAAGTTCGTACCTGAGGGATCCGTCTAGCTGCAGCTGCGGCCAAGACGCTTCGAAAAGTTCCGGAAGCATTAGGTCAACGATGGAATGCTGTCAGACCTAAGACCGTCAACCAGCGCAGATATGCGGCCAGTGTCTGCGGCCAGCGTTGATCCGACCATCGTCTAAAGTCGGCACGACGTGCTTGACTCGACCCGACTCGCTACGGCGCTGCGGCGCGACATCGCCAGCCATCTCATTTTCTTTCCCTTGTCGGCAATGGAACGTCAAGGATAGCCTACAGCATCGCATCCAGGCGGCTGATTGCTGTCTACGAGGTCGCATGCGTACGACATGGCAGAGGTCGAGACGACATCTTGGGGTAGCAGCTGGGCGAGGGCCTGAAACAGACCAATGAAGGTGAAACCTGAACCAAGGAGAAGAAGAAAAGCCTGCAACTGGACAGCGTAACTATTTGTCGTTGACAATCTGAATCTGCTCTCGGTTCGCAGTTCGCCAGCCAGTCAGAGATGGACGTACAACGTCGAATCTCGAAAAACTAGATAACTTTGAGAGCATACAGGACAGGCCAACCTGGGCGGCTGGCTGGGTCTCTGGGATATTACGAGAGACCAAAGCACCGGGAAACATCTGGTGACATTCCACACGGCACTTCGTCATCAAGCGGTGAGGGTTCATTAATGATCGTGGCCCTGGCTCCTTGTGACGGCGCTGCGTGGAGTTGCCGTTGGCTAACGATTACGGGCCGTTTCTTACTTCGGTCCATTACCATGGGCTATGGGCCTTGCCTCTATACTCGATAGGATCAAGGGATGCCGGCGACCGCCCCCGTTACTATGAGTAACTAAGAAGAAACGGCAAAGGAGACGAGTCAGTGGCTGACTGGCTCCTCTGATTATGGTCTCATGGCCCAGAGTTCCCGCTTCAGCTCCTGCCCGGGAACAAGACCCGGTTTCTTTCGCGGTGTGTGCCGCGGTTTCCCAGGCCTTGCTCTTAAGGCGTCCCGTGTTAAGGAGCCCCATTGTGAAGCGTTAGACCGGGCAGTCTCCGTCTATCAGTCGGAAGGGTTCAGTTGGGTTCTATGGGCTCATGGGGGAGAACCGGCGATTGGCACGCCAATCCACTCCCGGAACTGACCATGCATTCTAGGGCAATACGGAGCCGAACCCTCTTTACGCGCTGCTTGGCTGGATGGATCTTGCCGTTTGATTGGGGTCTCCATCTTTTCGACTTTGAGCCGCGGCAATCCTGCAGATGCTCCAGTGTCCTGCAGAGATATCCGGTACAGGAACAGGACACTAACGGAGCTTCGCTCGACCAAACCGCAACCACTCACGATGTTTGTCCCCACATGCCGCCAGCGATGCAGCGATGCAGCCAGCACGCCAACGGCCAACAAGTAGCAGAGAGAGAGGGTTGCAGGAGGAAGAGAATTGGAGCATGCTAGCACCAGCAGCATCAGCAGAACCCGCCCGTCCGCCCGCTCTCCGTTGGTGCGTGTCCGCTTTCCGCCCTTCTAGAAGCAATGTTGAAAGCAGGTTGCAGCGGCATGGTGTGGGATGGCCGCTGCGGCCACCAATTGCGATCACCTAACTGTGTGCCAGCTCACTTACCGCCTTGCCCATCTCGACAACCCACAACACCACAGGTAGTTGTCTTTAGGGGAAGGGTTCTGCTGGCAACCGGGCGGGCCACCGTAGCCTTGCAAGTTGGACCGGCGGCGGGCTGTGGGGACCGGGTACCTTGGGTATGATTTACTGATTATTAGGTGTCATGCAAGTGACCAACCGCTAGAGATCGTGTCGATTCTCAGACGGAACGCTGTGAAACCGCCATGGCTTTTGCCTTTTCCCGGGGGGGTGCACAACCTAGTGTTATTGTGTTGTTGTTTGTTTGTCGTGGATTTGGGGGACACACTATTGACTGTTTTCTTGGCTCTCCATGGCAACAGGGGGAAAAGACCAACCTCTTCAGGAAAGCCGCCGAAGGCACTCTATCCTGCGCTTGCCTGGGCCCTAGCGGCAGACACCGGGTCGGTTGTGGCTTCTTTTGAGGCGTTGGGGGGGGGGGTCATTTTGCGACGACACTCGATCGCTTTTCGTCCTTGCAACAACTCTCTGTCCCTTCTCCCTTTGAGTGACGATTGTATTGGTATACGAAGGACAGTCTGGACAACTGCGTACAGTGCGATTGATGAACTTGCGAATTGCTGGCTGGCTGGGGCCGATCTGCCCTCTTTTTTGCGTGCTCGGGGTCATGAAATAGTCATGTAATACGGGGAAGGCCAAGCCCGCCGGTCGCAGATTGGCAACCATTGGCGACCATTAGCAACCGCTGATCCAAAGTTGCGATATGACTGGGGAAAGTAATAAGACAGATAAGCTTTTGCGCAAGCAGAAAAAAATCTCTTCAAACTCTCCCACGCTAAGAAAGTAGAACGGGATTGGTTCTCTTTTCTCTCTGCGAGTGACAGAGAGCTGCTGTTATAGCAGTAGCAATGCGATTCATCTTGCAACTGTTGTCTACTTACCTTGGTTGCGTCCAATTGCCGGACGAAACATCAAGCAAAGCACAGCCGACCTGTTCATCCGGTCTTTTGTTTCCTTCTCTTCCTGTCATGAATCATTTCCTCTTTTTCCCTCGTGGCATCCCTATTCTAGAGCGTTTCCATTTTATGCGTTTCGATTTGTTTCTTTCATGCCCGACGCGTTTCGAGTTTCATTGATATTGCGGGGTGGATTGGGTTGTAGACGGAAGGGATGGCATGGCATGGCATGGCATGGCATGTCACAGAACCTGTTACTCCGTACTTCGTACACAGTGCCTGCGGCATTGTCCTTCTCCGTCCAAGCTTACATTGAGAGAGAGGTCGAACCAAAGATAAAGTAGGGATGAAAACTTTTTTGGACTTTGAGGCAGAAATGAAATGTCTGCGCTATGGTTTTCTATGAAATACCCGACGGGCAGGAAGATTGGAGAAATTTTGATATGGAGTTTGGAATGGGCTTCTCCTCCAATGGAATGCCCCATGTGGCATGTGTCAGTGGTTTAGAATCCGACTGGCCGGACTAGCAAAACTGTACAGGTTTTTTCTTTACGGTGACGTTTATTGAGATCGGGTCGATTCACACGTGCGGCTGCGTACTTGAACTCTCGGGTTTGGTGGGTCTTTGAAATGGCACGTGAGCGCATTGAATGGCAGCAGACTCCTGCCGGTATTGCTGCTACTTTTCGATCAACCTTGTGCTTCTTCCCCGACTGATGATTGTGCCTTGTAGGGTGAGTGGTGGTACTGAAGGTTCAAGTGAGGATATCGTCAGATATCAGGGCGCTCCGAGCAGACGGGATCGCAGTCTTGAGCCGGGGATTCTGTCGTCCGATAGATGAGAGAGAATTTCGTTGTCGGTTGGGTCGTAGTTGTACCTCTGTCATATCAGTCAGTCCGACAATTTAATGCATAATGAGGTTTGCTGGCTGACTAGCTCATGGAGATTCGGATGGTTGAGGCTGTGGTTGTAAGCCTTCGTTGGGAGGCGCTATCAAGGCTCTCAGGTATCCCATACTTTCTTACTCAGATTCGCGAATGCGAGAATCTCTGGGAGCGAGGCTACAAGGGGGTTTTGACTTTTGACTTTTGAGTTTTGACTTTGTGGCTCTGGCGAGGCCGAAGATTTTTGCGGCTGTGCTTGTGTGCGTGTAAGTCAGTTCTTGGGCTGCCAGGCAAGGTATCAAGTGAGATGAGGCGAGATGAGCCAGCATCACGTTCAAAACTGATAACTGTTGGAGCATTGGAAAGGGGTGGTTTGTCGTGTTTGACGAACTGGAGAGGATGGAAATGCCATCTTGCTCTCGTCTTGCCGGGCATGTCAGAGAGGACGGGGTCTATGGTCATTGGCTTGTAATCGTACCTACTCGGCTATTTAGCTCCCTTCTCTTCAAATACGATTGAATGTTGTGAGGACAAGTCTGAGTCTTTGAATTTTTTCGGCGAGGGTTCGCCTTTCGATAAGAGATGGGCTTTGCCTATGATTGTTCTGGTTGAGAGTGTGAAACCCGGATTGGCATTCATGAACTGGACTTCAGCGCTCCGTATTGCTGGAGATGTGTTGATCTAATCATTCTCACATCTTCTACGACTGCCTTCTCTGACACTCTATGACCTTGAACTTATTCACAGGCTCCATGTTCTAATTGGCGTTGATAGGGGTTTCTTTATTTGGAAACCGCAACAACGAGATCCAGAACCCGGCATCGATAACCGCCTTGTTTTGCATAAATATTGAAGACCAGGCTATGGAGAGCGCCGCAAGAGGACTATACCATACGGAACCTTTTATGAGTCAATGGCGATGGGGTCTGACTGGTCATAGGCAATGGAAGAAAGACGCTCTTGAGGAGACTCGCTTGGTCTTTCGGGTCGACGTTAAAAGGAGGCATATTGTTAGTCTGCCTACCCCCAAGATAAGGTGTGGATCGTACTCGTTCACGAAAGCTGTGGGAGACCTACAAGCTTCCTCTAGGAAGCAGATGTTTTTTGAGATCATCATATCTTTGATTCTCCGCAAGGCTCGTTGGTATGGCTTCAAACAAGCCACAGATGTCAATACCTCTGACTCATCGGCCCCTGCCTTTCTGACCTACTGAAATCATCACTGCCATCGACAGTAAACATTGACAATGAGAAGACGCTCGCCACAGATGATTCATCTCATGCCTCCTTTCCATTTGAGAGTGACGACTATTAGCTTGAGTTCTAGTATCCTGAGGAGGGGCTAGATGGGAGGTTGCACAGGATAATCAATAACACGGAAAGATATGACGAAGCTCTCTTGATGAGAAACCTCATCAAGTAGCCCGCTACAAGTGGGAAAACACAAGTCGAAGAGAAGCCATGAAATGAGCAATCCACAAACCCGCTCAGGGAATTCCAACATCAACCTCCCATCCCCAATTGTCGTAATATCTGACTGATAGCGTCACCACCTCCTCCCCAAGTCATCTCATCGTACGGCGTAAGCCTTTCCAAATTCTTGTCTCCAAGCACAACCCTCAAGCCGTCCCAGTCGCAGTCGGGCGCTGCTTCTTATAAGGAAACGGCAACTCAGGCAGGTCGTCATACATGTACAGGCCCTCGTTGCAATTCGACTTGCCCCAGATGTTCCCCGTGCTCTCGTACCACGCCGAGTCGACCGCGAGGGCCGGGCAGGTCGCGAAGACGTCGAAGCTCCAGTAGAGCCTCTTCTCCTGGATCGACTTGTCGCCGCGGTCCTCGCAGACGGGCTTGCTGGGCAGCGCGCACGCGAGGTCGGTGCGCTTGAGGTTGTGCCAGAGGCGGTGGCAGACGGCGCCGACGTCCTCGTCGACGAGGGCCGTCAGCTTGAAGGGGGTGACAAAGGTGTTGCCGTGGCCGCGCTTGCAGGCGACCTGCTGCCACATGTGTTGTCTCTCGCGCGGCATGTTCATGGGGCCCTTGCCGCCTGGTTTGATGGCCGAGATGAGGGTTGCTGTCGTGGCGAGGAAGAGGAGGAGGAGGGTGATTGGGGACTTCATGGTTCTTGGAGAAGGGTTTGGGCGAAGTCAAGGTTGAGTTGATGAGATTTGTACCCGTTTGATTATGGGGAGAGAGAGGGATGTAGATGATGTCCGTCTAAGATTGCAAAGATGGAACGAGTGGGCGCGTTATTTGCTGAAAAAGGGGAGTCTCTGTGCCCTTCAGCTCTGATGTAAGTGCCAGAAGAACGTTGAAAACGTCGAGGATGGCTAGGCGGCTGAACTTGGTGTTGCTTTTCGTTAGACGACCAAGAACGAGGAAAGGTTTTCAGTTGGCTAGCCAGTTACCTGACTGATATATAATAAGCAGCCTTTACAGAGGGCGAGAGAGGCTCAGGGAGAACTGGGGAATGGGTCCGGAGAAAGCTCATGCTTCTCTAGAGACATCTACCTTGGTGACTTCATGCACAAGAGAAGCCTGGGACATACTATTGAACAATAGACTATAGTATGTATCTGTGAATGCCGACGCCTCCCTGACGGGGACTATTTTATGCAATGACCAAACTTTTCAAAATTACACGCCAAATTCTTGCCCATGATGGCTTCGAATCCCCCAAATACCAACAGGGTGGTCTGCGTTCCAATATTCACTATATAGAATGGAATAGACTTCGTAGGAGGAGAAGAAATAAGATATCGAGGACCCTGAGTGATTAACGCGAAAAGGGGCCAATTAACATTGAGCGGCTGTCAATATATCAAATGATTTTCCGCAACCGCGGCCCAGCCATGCATAGCCTCCATCCGCCGATGACGCCTCCTTTGAAACTCAGTGCTGCCATATTTTGGGGCACCGTTGTACTGGCTTATTGTTCAATTATCCTGCCATTCACTATCCCATTCCGCTCCCGTACAAGTAGCGTGCTCCTTCTCAGCTCATCTAACAACAAACGATTGACGTTGGGTTATCTGTCCAGGAGAGTCAAGGGGAGTATTTATATCTTCTGTCTAGCTTCTAAACCGTAGATATTTAATTTGAATGTTTGCCTTCACACGTACATGCCGCCGTATGAATGTCCCGTAGACAGACGGTATCCTCGTCCATCAGGGTCTACTGCCTTCCCCGACGTTCGGAACTTTACGCGGTTTAAAATTTGGACTTACATGTCCCTCATTCAAGTTCCTTCTTCGCGCGCAGATTTACGCCCGAAGGGCTTCGTACATCTGCGGCCATAGAATACTTCGTACCCCATCGTCTCGAGGCTGCAGAAGGCCTCCACTGGCCGGCTCCCCTTTCCAAATCTATGCTCCGCCCTGGTACATGAGACCAGAAAAGCTTATTACCCGCTCGGCAGGAACCTGACACTCTAGACTATGCATATATCATGCATGGTTCCACCTTTCCAGACAACCTCATTCAGATGTTGATGGCAGATGGCCGGCATGGAGGGCTGAAGGCAAACCATAAAACACCCCTCCCGTAGTCGACCTCCATCCGCAGTTCAACGTACGATGTCGGGCTTCGTGCAAGCCGGGCTTGTCACCCCACTGGCACATGGTGTATACACCAACACGAAGAGAAACCCAAGTGAAAGTATGAATGGTACACCGTTAACGAATTTCCGTAATCTAGATCACATAGCGAAGTCGAATGATTACACCGTTGATCGTTTCATAAGGCAAGTAAGGCAAGAAAGAGTTCAAACGTAGGAAACCCACAAAAAGATCCATCTGTGAGAGAAAGCCAGACAAACCCTCCTTCCCAGTAAGCTAAAGCAACTCGATCAATAGAAAGTGAGCGTGATATGAGAAAGACCTGTATAAGCATATCCCGTCACGACCAGCTGTCACTCATCTTCGCTCTCCCTAGAAGTAGCTCCCTGAAGGCTCTCTTACATCCCCAGACACCCGCTTATCGTGGTAGGTCCATTGATAGAACGAAATGTTGTCAATGCAACGAAAAGAGCGGGGAGAATACGTTCCACAAATACCACACCACCGGCGCCGACGATGCGTTTCAGCGGATGTGGACTCCGTCAAAGTCGCAGCCCGCGCGGGTGAACAAGCTTCCACCCGGACCCGCATCCGAACTCCTTGCGCTCGGCCGGTCCGGGAGCCAGGCAACCTCATTCCCGGGCCTCGAGCGGACTTTGTTCCGTACTGTTAGTGTGGTGATGTACCTGTCTTCACTCCCAATCCACTCGTAACAAAATATCACGAACAGCAGAGACAACAAAGTCCACGAATCTTTTATATATGGTTCTGAGGGCGCAAAATGCAGCCCATAACGAGTAGTCTCTAAGATAAGCATAAAGCCAGATGAAGAACAGATACAGACGCTGAGCCCCGGGGATGTCACTCGCACGGGGCCATGGCGGGATTCATCCGTGCTGCTGGTAAGGTAAGCTACAACAGCTCCCCCACACGGCGTCCGCCTTTGACCAGGTTAGCTAGCCAGCCCCATCCTCAGTCCAACGACCATTCCAGGTATTGGTCTATATTCCCCCATGTAACGCCATCTTAATGCTTAGCCGTGACCTTGTCGCCGGTGAGCTTCTCGACGTAAGTCTTGGCCCTGTAGTTCCCACTGATTAGTTCTGTCCGTGTTATGTGACGAAAGGGGTGGGGGCAACTCACATATCACCCAAAGCAACCATGCAAATCGTCTGCCAAACGCCGAGACCAATACGAGGAGCAACACCACGGTAGAGACCGGAGATACCGTTGGTGGAGTAAATGTAACGGAAAGTGTTTCCGACCGTCATCTTCTTGGGTCGGTTGGGGTCCTCCTTCTTGCTCTGCATCTCGACACGGATGACCTCAATAGGCTGGTTCCAGGCGGACAGACCACCACCGAGACCGGAAGCAAGAATCTTCTCCCAGGCGGCGAGCTTCTCACCGTCCTTCTTGCCTCTTACGTCGCGGATGCCCTGCTCGGCCAGACGAGAGAGACCGAAACGGGAACCCCAGTTGGTCATCTGACGGATAGCGACGGCGTTGACACCCTTGTTGATGCCCTTGATACCCTCCTTGCGGTAGATACCCATGAAGGTCTGGAAGGTGCTGGGAGGCGGGACGCCAGTGGAGGCAACCTTGTGCTTGGTGATCTCGACCGTCTTCATGCAAGTGCAGAAACCCATGGTGGCATAGGCCTGGGCAACACCACCGGTGATACCACCGATGATACCACCACCGAACTCGGAAGCACCAGCGTTGCGTGCGTAGTACTCGGCCTCGGAGGCGACGAAGAGAAGGACGGCGCCCTTGGTGGAGGCTTCAATCCAGGCCCAGGGGATGAGACCCTGGTAGACTATGAGGGAGGAGAAATGTCAGTGATGCTTCTTGCTTGTGGAGTGATTTGTCTTCTGGAGAGCTTCGACATCAAGCAATCAATGGGCATCAACCGGGCCGCGATAAGCAGCTCGATTGACGGATTGATTTCCAGTAGTCATCTCAGAGAATCACGAGAATCACCGGAAATGAGGATGGGGAGTTTACTCACAACCAAGGACACCACCACGACCCCAGATGCGGCCCAGGGCAGTGCCAAAGCCGTCGCCACGGTTGGCAGCCATGGTGGTCTTGACGACCTCGAGCGGCTGGCCAAGCGTGGTGACCTCGAACATGTTCAGACCGGCGCCCAACAGCAAGTTGGAGAACTTGACGGGCTTCTTCTCCAGCTTCTGGGGCTCCCCGATGGGGGCGGGCATAGTGGCGACGGCAACCATGGCTCTGCTACTTGTGATGACGGAAAGGGGCCCTGACCAAGGGAGGAGGGTGCTTCTTCGCGGGGGATGCGAGGTGCGGCGGGAGGTTTAATGGAAAGTACGGGGTAGATGCTTGGGAATGGAGCCAAGCGAGGAATGGGGGAAAATGCGGTAGGTTGCGGGATAAAAAAAGGGCTGGGAATGACCTCGGATATTCGAGCTGTGTGTTGATAGGTGTATCTCGGAGGAAGGCCGAGGTCACAGGTGACTTTTTGTGTATGAGGTGAGGAGAGATGTGTTCGTTTGAAAGTTAGGCGCCCGGGGGACTGGACTGGTTTTGGTTGCTAGTTCGGGGGTGGAAGCGTGCGTTCTCAGTGACAAGAAACCGAAGAAACAGAAGCAGGAGCTCTCCGTGACTGAGCGGACGTGGGAGCAGGCGCCTTTTGCACGTGGGAATTGGAGTGGATTTGGGAGGGAACAGTGAGCAAAGGCAAGGCAGGGGCAGGGGTGGGCTACCTGAATGCTGGAGCTCCTCAATTTTTTTGGTCCCAGCCCACACTCAATGCTCACTCTCTCTCTCCAGTCTATCTTCCTAGGGCGGGCTTTGATGAGCTTGGAACCGGGTCAACTTTGGACTCCATTGGGCTTTTTAGCCTTGGACTTGGCCTTGATCGGAGGCCCGATCTGACAGCCTTAGGTTAGGCTATTCACCCGAGTATCACCTCGGACGACCTATTAGATGGTTGTTGGACGGGCATATGCGATACAGACGACCAGACAGAGTTAGATGTTTCCTCTCAGGTACCCAACCCTTGAAGCATAACGGGCGGCCGAGAGCCCCTTGTCTGAAGTCTCCCCCAATGGTTGTAGCAGCGTATGTAAGCTTGACTGGGCACCTCATGTCTCCCGCCGGTACTTTGCATCTTTGAGTACGAAGTACTCTGTGTCCCTACTGGCAAGCAAAAGATACCTACAGTAGATCGGCTTCCTGGACAGCTCGGAGAGAGTGTGTGTGGCATGGAGATGGGAATGCGATAAAAAGTGAGACGTGTGCGCCCATAACTTGAGACGATGCCGGCTGTCCAAGCATTGTCGTAAGACTCGACTCCCTCTCATCGTCCCTCTCTCCCTGTGCATTGTGCTGCTCATAGACCTCATTTAGAAGTGCGTATATCCGTAGTTGACTACCAAGTATATCTGGTTGTATTAGCAGCAGCTTTGGAAGCAGTTACGAGCTGTTGGCATGTACACATCCACTACAAACAATCGTATCCGATGTCAGCTATCCTTCGGGTACTTTTACGAGGATGAACTGCAGCAAGCCAATATTCCCTCGGCGGCTTGCTTACCTCACCTCACCTCAGATAACAAGGCACACATCAGTGAGTCCCGTTACAGCCACAGCTTGGAAAGGGAGTTGTGCCGCCTGCAACATTGGATTTCAACCAGACAAAAGGAAGCTCGAAGCTCACGCAGAAGAAAACAGGGTCCGTACCTCGAGGCCGCGCATCAACAGGTCCGCCGTGCCACGGACTGGCCCGTGGGTTCTCCGCCAACCACACCAAAACGGGCACTAAGAGCACCAAAAGATTCAAGAAACCGAAGAAGGCGCCCACGCGCCCCGCCGGGTCCTTTTTTGGAGCTCAACCCTCCCCAACAGCTTCCAGCCTTGTCCCCATCTGGAGAGCTCAACGCAAAATTCCGTGGGGATCTTCCGACTGCCAAAGCCTCAACCGCCCCCGTCCCAAACTGCCTCCCTCCGATTCCCGCCTCTGACTGGGTATCAAGCTCTAATCTCTCAGACTCACCAGCCGTACGCCGTAGAATCGACGATACCTTTTTTTTTTTTTTTTTTTTTTTTTTTGGGCAATCCACAGCCACCAACATCCATTTACTCCCCCCGTAAGATCTACCAGTAACACCGCGTCAGCCTCACGGTAAGAAGCCTTCAACCCTTATCCAATTAAACCATCCGACTCCATCACATTGCACAAAACCCGGAACTACATCCCTGAGCCGGAACCACTTGCTCCTGCACCAGGTTCCTCTTTTCTTACGGAGTACTCCGTACTCAAGGCTCAAAAGCTGTCTTTCCCACGCCGGACATCGATTGGGGTATAACCAACCCGAGGGGAGGTGTGGATTACATACAGTAAGACTACGGATATTATGCAGTACAAGGTGGTACCGTAGTTTGAGATTATGTAAGACATCACAAGTTTGAAAGTGACACGAACTCCTGGTGTGCGCGTGCCTGCAGAAGCTCGACTCCAAAACTTGCATAGCTCGAGTCCGGCCGCGTGTCCAAGCATCGCGGCGCCACGCTGCGCGCATGGCTTCGCCTGTCACGTCCAGAGGCGCGCAGACATCGGCAAATCCATCCCTTTCCCGCTCCGTCTCAAGTTCAACATCGTCGCATCATGCGCACCAAGCTTCGAGAATAGACCATGGTCAGTGTACCGAGTAAATGGTAAAGCAAGGATCAATGCAAGTAAAGGAACATCTTTATAACTTCAAATTCGTAAATGTGTATTCGGACGCAAGCCAGCCTCGGCCCCAAGGTAACTAAAACAACCCAGTAATTCCCGGTAAAAGCAGCCCTTCTCGGTATTGTACAAGCGCAGTGGATGGTATCGCCCAAAGCTTTTCTATCCACCCTGACTGAAACAACACGCTGCCTTTCATGTCTATTGTTGATCGCTCATGCGACCCTGATGCCTTTCCCGCGCACGCAAAATTACTTGCATCCGCAGGCGCGCCTCCGTTTTTCTCTCTTCCGCCATCATCATCATCTTCTTCTAAGCGTACACGTTTAGATCTTCTTGACAAGCTCGGCCCACTTGGCAGTGGAGAAGGACTTGGGGCGCTCGATGGGGGCACCGAGGGCGCGGTCGATGATGAGCTGGGGAAGGACACCGATGGCGCGGGAAACACCGAAGAGGACGGTGTAGTAGTTGGCCTCGGTAAGACCGTAGTACTGGAGGAGGACACCGGAGTGGGCGTCGACGTTGGGGTAGGGGTTCTTGGTCTTGCCGTGCTGGGTGAGGACCTCGGGGGCGATCTTGTAGACCTGGGAGACGAGCTGGAACATGGGGTCGTTGGGCATCTTCTCTGTAGGGTTGTCAGTATTCTCATTCTTACGTCGAATCTGGATTGTCATTCATGGTGGATACGTACCCTGGGCGAACTTGCGCTGGGCAGAGTAACGGGGGTCAGTCTTGCGGAGGACGGCGTGGCCGTAACCGGGAACGACACGGCCGGCGTTCAGGGTGGACCAGAGGTAGTCGGTGATGGCCTTGTCGCTGAGGTCGTCGCCAACGGACTTCTTCATCTCAGTGAGCCAGTTGAGAACCTCCTGGTTGGCAAGACCGTGGAGAGGACCGGCCAGACCGTTGAGACCAGCAGCAACGGAAAGGAAGGGGGAGGACAGAGCACTGCCGACCAAGTGGGTGGTGTGGGCAGAGACGTTGCCACCCTCGTGGTCAGTGTGGATGGTGAGGTAGAGACGGAGCAGCTCGACGAAGTCGGTGTTGCTGCCGAAGCCGAGCTGGTTGGCGAAGTTGAAGGAGTAATCCTTGTCCTTCTCAACAGCGGCGACCTTGCCGCCCTTGAAGACGTTCTGGTAGATGCGAGCGGCAATGGTGGGCAGCTTGGCAATCAGGTCCATGGAGTCCTCAAAGGTGTATCCCCAGTAGTCCTTCTTGTTGACACCCTTGGCGTAGGCCTTGGCGAACGAAGAGGTGTGCTCGAGGGCGGTAACGGCCAGGGAGAACTGAGCCATGGGGTGAAGGTCGGTAGGGCAGTGGTCGATCAGCTCCTCGACGAACTTGGGAATGTCGGAGCGGGCGGCCCACTCGGCGGACAGGTCGCGGACCTGCTGCTCGGTAGGGACCTCGCCAGTCAGGAGAAGCCAGAAGAGACCTTTGAAGTTTTGTTAGCAAAGGGAATTCATTGCGAAAATTGTCGCGACACATAGACTTACCCTCAGGAAGGGGCTCCTTGCCACCGGGAGCCTTGGGGAGGAGCTCCTGGCACTCGGGAATGGTCTTGCCGCGGAAACGGATACCCTCCTCAGCGTCGAGAACGGAACCCTCCCAGACGAGGCACTTGATGCCACGAGCACCACCGTAGACCTGGTCAAGAGTGACCTTGTCGATGACCTTGGAGCCATGCTCTCTGCGACGGCGAGGTTAGCGGTTGTCGAGGTTGCGATAAGGGGGCCCAATGGCTATGCACTCACTTTCTCAGAGCCTTGACCTCCTCAATCTTCTCGGGGAGAAGCTCAGCGAAGCGCTCCTTCAAGGTCTAGATGCGAACGTGTCAGCTTCACGATACCCGAGGTAAGGAAGGGCCGGACGGCCGGAGGGAAACAACGGCGACGGCAGCAGCAACTTACCTGGTTCTTGGAAGAGTAGCAACGGGCAGCGTTGAAAGCCGAGACCTTGAAAGGGGAGGCTCTGAGGGAAGTCCTCAGAGCAGAGGTGGAAAGACGCGCTACAGACATTGTGAGAGTATCGTGAGGCTTCAGGAACTGGTGAAGGATGAAGGTCGGAAAGGAGGGAAAGAAAAAAGCCGCAGGTAATGGGATAGAAAAAAATATGAAGCAAAGGCGCACTTGGACCGGGGGGCCGCCCTCGGGGGGTCACGTCACAGGTGTGGCCGGAAATACCAATGTACCTCAGCGGGCATACGGGTTGTCTCTCAGGCAGGGTGAGGTATCTGCGCTAGGTGTTTTGGCGCTGCAGGTACATCTGCCATCCATCTTAGACTTCCGGCCGGTTGCCCTGCAGTGTAGCAGTCTACCTAGGTGCTCCCCCAACGTCGGTCCAACCATGGAATTTTTCCTTGAGCTCTCAAGCTGCCCAGATCCAATGCAGGTCGAGCCCAGGCCCGTCTTCCGAGGTATTCAACACGCGCCATAGCGCTCAATTTGCGATGGCGTACAGGAATTGATTGAGAGGCTCAGCCGCCGTCCGGCACTCCGTTGACATCCCTTCCTTTCAGACCAGCTACCTACCACCTACCTTGCTTCTTGACACCGGTGTGCCTTACTCGAGCAGGTTTCAATTGCGGTGGCGGACGACCTCTACACCGTTGATACCTGAGGTCAAGACTCTCTCTCCCGGCCTTCAAGCAACGAGGGAGAAACAAACGCCGGCGAGGCGAGCAGACGCGAAAAGGATACGTACCGGCTGTAATGTACAAGTGTCCAAGACTCCAGTGCCCCCCGTGTCCCCCGTGGTCCCCCCAACCGGCGACTCCAATCAATCTATCCTGTCAATCTTGGGATCTCAATCTCCCTGAACCTGTCTCCGTCTTTTTACGTAGCGTCCCTCGTCGGCCCCACCAGAAAATCTGCATCGCGCACTCCAGTTTGTCGTTGCTCCAGTCTCCAGTTTTACCTCCCGTATCACAACGCCCCGTTCTTGCGCGCGAAAAGCCGAGATAAGTGGATATCTGGGCGGCTTCTCTCGGAGTATCCGCTCTTCGTCCGAAGGTCGGAAGCCAAACTCCAAGTATCTGTTGAACACAACATCGCAGCCTTGACTTTGTGGGTAGCCCGGCGGTAAGGTAAGGTAGCCAAGGACAATGCGCCTCACGGTGAGACTGGACGACGGTTGAACTTCAGAAGGGACTGTGTACCTTCCCAGGCACTTGGGATCGCGGCCCGGCCCCCACGAGTTCACGCTTTCTTACTAAGATTTGGCCCTCGCCAAAGAGCATGTCCGGACTCAGCGCTTGCGCTCCTGTTGCCATTGGCAAGTATCCGCCCGGAGCCAAAGTCAATGGAGGACTTGTTGATGCAAGTTGTTGCTCTCCTCCGAGCCCTGTCTCGCGCATCTCCCGTCAGCTCCGAGGCTCCGTAACCCGCCGCAGGTGTGGCATTCGACCAATCAAAACTGCGTTCTCGACCCTCCTGCCTGTCTTGGAGCGAACTTCCAACCACGGCACAGCTCGACCGCCTCATCCGAGAAAGCTCACACTGGTCACGTATCCGTACAACATGAAGTAGAACGAGGCTTCCGCTCGTCCACGGCAAAGGCAGATGTTGTGATTATGTATCCCGGCTATCACGTAAAATTGATATAATCGTATGTGTGGTATTATTGACAAGCTGTAGCGATTGCAAAGGAATCTGTCAAGCTTCAAGTTTAGATCCTACTGATAAGAAGTATTTTCGCAACTGTCTGCCGGCAACTTCAGCTCTGATTAACAGAGTTGTTGTTGCCGGGGAACTATCACACCTTCTCCAGATAATTTAGTAGGTGGGTATTGTCCGCATACGGATGTGGATGAGAACAATATGAAGACTGGCAGAAATAATTGTGGGCGGGCGTGACAACAAAGATCTTTGCTCTCCTCGTTGATGTCCGGGCCGGCGACGCCAATGTGGAAAGGTGCTCTGGCCAATCTGGGCCAATTCAAGCGCCGGGACCCAAAGCATCTCCTGTTATTTCCATATTGGCGCAATTGAGACGACTGTGTCAAATGGGCCTTTCTCACTTATTTATTATGCCAGCTCATCACCAGCGCGTCTACCTTAGCATTCCGGTGCAGTCCATCTTCTACGTACCTTAGGTCGTACTTCCTCGCGGCAGAACCTCGGCGGTGGAACCATCATCTCGCTTCGAGGACCGGCTAGTCAGCAAAAAGGTCTGTGCCTTAGCAACTTCCCATTTAGCCTTAGGCAGAAAGAAGCTTGGGCACCCGACCTCAGCAAACGATGTGAGCTCCTGCTCTTGATGACTTTGATGACAAAGATGCCAATGGTTTTGATTGGTGCTTTGGTCTCCAAGAATAAAGCCGTAATCATGGGCACGCTGCACACCCGACCTCACCTGCCATGTGCCACCGCCTGCTGCACGGCAAGCCTCCAGCGCCGTCTCCAAACGTGTCCCAGCTTCCATTCCATCCCCACTTCCGAATCTCTTCTTTTCCAACCACAACTCCCCCTTCCCCCTCAGAAAAACTGACGAACCTCTCCAGCGCGACGCTGCATCACGCCCATCCCGTCGGCAGCATAAGATAACTGTATTCATCGAGACTATCATCGTATACTGACGAACATCGTATTTCGCCTTCGAGGACCGCAAGAGTCCGACCGTGGGTGAAATCAAATCAAGTAGTAGACCGTCGACGGCTCCTGCCACTTGAAAATTCTCCTCTGTGACCTCCTTGGGACGACTCGTCAAAAAAGGCGTCGCACGCTCTGTCCGTACAAAGTAGAGAGTCATCCAATCCAGGAACTCGATCCATTCGTACCTTTAGAGTGCTGGACACATTGCCGTCGCGCGACATTTTGGGATATCTACCTTATTTCTGCCTGCGCGGTCTGTAAAACAAAATACACACAAAAAGTTGTTGATCGAGGGAAGGCGCGACCGGACGTACCTGCCTGATTTTACTCTAGGAAAGAGCGTGGCACTCTTTTACTCTTGACTACTTCCACTTCCTGGACGTCGCGTACCTCCCCGCGCCCTCAGTAAACCTCTTCTTGAACAACCCTTCTTGCAAGCCGCAAAGAGCAAAAAAAAAGAAGCCCTAGCTACTGGCACTTCGTCTGTTTTGCCTCGAGCCTGCCCGCCACAACCAAACCAAACTATCTACCTTCCCAATCGTACTTCGCTCGCAGACAAACTCCTGAGGAAAAACACCACAATCGCCATCGCCATATCTTAGTTGCCAGCGAGCGCCCTGCAGAATGGCTGCCCCGACTTCTGCCGCCGCTGCTGTGGCGGAGCTAGAAGCCGCCCTCGAACCCATGCAGAATTACAAGGCTCCTGGTGTCACCGCCAACCGCATTGCTAATATCACTACCATCTGTGTCGACAACATTCAGGTACGATACGATATCGAACGCAGCGTCGCATCTCGCTTGCCTGGCCAAGTACCTAGACTAACCTCGAAACTTTCTCTGTAGAATGAGTCGGTTCTCATCCAGAAGCTGTATACCACGTTCAAGAAGTTTTCTGCTCCTTACAAGCTTGGAGTCCTATACGTGATCGACTCTGTGATGCGCAAGTGGCTTGACCAAGCCAGAGTGTCCGGCCAGCCTGTTGATGGTTCTGCGAGAGATGGAACCTTTGGCGCTGGTTGTCACCGAATTACCGGTCTCATGCACACCCTCATCAGTGACATGGTGCAGTTGCGCCTCGAAGGCCAAAAGGTACGCATCAAATGTTGCAGTTTTCGAAGCACCCTCTACTACAATACTTTGTGTGTTGGCATATCTCATAATGGTTCCGACATGGACCGGGATGTCTTTCGCCCTTCATCCTTTCATCTACCTCACACCGGACAATGTGAGAGTGAACGCTTGAGACTCATTCGGACACGTTCATTGATGTCTATATGTTCTTTGCTTTCTGTTGACATGGCTGGATAATCTACTTACACTGCTGCCCTTTATGTAGGAGAAATTGCTTAAGCTGCTCGAGATATGGCGTAGAGTTGCCACTTTCTCTCCTGATGTCCTCGATGATTTCCAGCGGAAGATCGAATCTTCGCCTGACCCGAGTATGTCACCATCCCACCAGATGATCAACAAGCTTCATCGCCTCCGTTGTGCTAGCCCGGGTTTACAATTTGCTGACTCCTCTGCCCGTTCAGTTCAGTCCTACACGCCTGAGGGTAGTCCCCCACCAGGCTTGGTCGAGGCCATGGGCTACAGATCCAAATCCGCGGCTCCCCCGGCTGCTCAACCCCGTCCTGCTGATGCCAACAGCATCATCGCCAATCTGGCCAAACTTACGCAGTCCGTCCAGAGCCAGCCTCAGACCCAGAGCTATGGCCAGCCGCAGAATAGCCAGAGTCAGAGTAACGGACATGGCCAGAACTTCAATCAGGGCCACAATTACGGCCAGGCCCATGGTCATATCCAGCCTCCCGCCCCGGCTCAGACTCAGACCCCCGCAGTGCCTCAGAACTTGCAAGACTTGCTCTCTAGACTACAGAGCTCCACGCCACAGCAGCAGCAGCAACCGCCGCCGCCGCCGCCTCCAGCTCCTCCCGTCAACCAGTTCCCCCAGGCTCCGTACTCTATGCCTCCTTTCCCTGGTGGCCCCCCTAACACAGCGACTCCGTATGCATACGCCCAAGGCCAGCCCCAGGCTCCTCCTGTTGGACTGCCGTTTCCAGGAGCTGGCCCTCAGCCTCCTCAGGGAGTCAATGGTCAGCAAATGGCTCTCATGCAGATGTTTGCCAATTCGGGATTCACCGCGGAGCAAATTGTCGCAGCGCTTGCGGCTGCCAGCAATCAAAACAGCGCTACTCCTTCGGGACCGCCTGTACCCACGCCCTCTACCACATCTACTCCACTCCCCATCGCGGCCCAGAGTTACTACGGCAGCGGTCAGGGATGGGGTGGTCCCGTTCAGCCCAGTGACACCAGCGAGGGAAGTCGCTACATTCGTACCTCAGCTGGAGCTGGAAATGGGAAATATGAACGTACAACCCGGTCTAGATCGCCTGGCCGCCGTTGGAACTCGGGTGGTTCTTCTCACG